GCTTCGGGGGGGGGGGGGAACGTAGTATGTTTGAAAGATCTTATGGAGCAGATTATGGCGCTACCACTATGTCACTATGTTTACATGCTTGAGGAATGCAAAGGCTCACTTTTTACGATTGTTGAGATAAGATTGTTGGAGCATCAGATAAAGCTACTATGTTTACATGCTTGGGGAATGGAAAGGCTCACGTAGAAAATTGTTGTGCTAAGATTGTTGGAGAAGAATATGAAGGCACCACTATGTTTACATTCTTAGGAAACGGAAACATTCACTATAAAGTAATTAGCCACAAAGGGAGTGTATTGTTGTCAATCAGTTGGTCAACTCACTATGTTAGATTTACTGAAAGAGTAGAATGTTTACCTGTGGTGCTCCATTCACTTAAAGATGTTCAAGGGAAACTTGTACTTTTTTAAAATTTCCCTGCAAATTATTGGGTATGAGAACTTGAGATGGAGGCATGCAGAGTCCAGGCTGGATAAAGCAATGCAATCAAACCTAACCCAATTAACCCTATCAGCCATTGAGCAATTCCCCGTCACTCAGACATCCAAAAGTCCAGACCTAACAGAATCATTCAAATCTAATTAACTCCACCTCTCCTACCTACCTCTGCACTCTCTACGTATGTGGACACCCAAACTGCCAGAGAAGACAAAGCCCATGACGGACACACTGGATAATGGAACCTTAGTACTATCAGCAAGTTTGGAAAGGGTGTGAGCCCTAAAAAGGGCCAAGTCACAGGGTCTGAGCACATGCCACCAGATCTACACCAGAACAGAGTGATGGCCTTTCCTGGTGGGTGAACCAGGTTATGGACCTGTGCTGATGGCAGCTGAGCAAAGATAGAATCAAAGTGGAAACTGGAACAGGCCAAAGGCCAGGGTGGACACTGGGCAGTGAAGAACCGTAGTCAAAAGTCAAGAAACAAGAATGCAAAAGCTCAGGAACTAATGCAGACTGGAGCCTTGGGCTAGGAAATTGACCTATTGATCTGGCAATGGGTGTTGGTCTAAACACAGCTAAATAGTGAAGTTGCTTTGCAGTCTGGACAGGGACTGGCAGCGTAGGTGCTATATTACCCAGCAGGTAAAATCCAGTGGCACTTATAGCTCTCAGTGCTGGAACAAAGAAGGTTGTAGCAAGGTAGGAAAATCCATATGTTGGTAGAACCACCAGTAGCAGATCAGCTTTGCTGCTGATCTAAGACAGTAGTCCCCCCAGACTGCCTGGACACAGGAAGGGGGCAGTGCTCCAGCAAGTGGTTTAACGCCACCCCGTTGCCAATCCAACCTCTCAAATTAAGTAGTTACCTGTAAATAAGAAACCAAAAATTTACTTTTACTGCTGCTTGTGTCACTGAACACTGCTACAATCAGTAGAAATGATCCTCAAAGTTTTCTGGAAAACCAACATTTTTGAGAGTGTTAGTGTCCGTGTTCCTCTGCAGCTCTCACTGGTTTCTCCTGCTGACCTCCAAGTCATTTCAGGATTTAGCAGTAACCTGGAGTTTAGCAGTGAGAAATGCAGATCAACATTTCGAGAAGTGTTGGTTTCCAGCCTAATTCATATACCGGTTGGAGTGGGCTTAGTGGCATGAGCAGCAGGAGAGGTAAAAAGGCTCTTCTTTCTCTCTCTCTCTCGTTCTTCTCATTTTTAGAGGTAGCTTGATTGGAGGATCATTTTAAAACAGCCAACTGAGATCCAAGAAAAAAATCATAATTTTTTTTTAAAATGGCCTTACAGCACATCTGCATTGAGCCCAAATCTTCTAGAAGAAACAGTAAATACCTCACTGGAGTTACTGTTTTGTTGGAACCCGTGCCAGTCTACCTACCTGCTTCCCTGCTGCCTGCAGACTGAGATCTGTGTATACTTCTCCTTTCCCTTTACCTGAATATGTTTTGGGAAACTCCTAGCTCCCTGCTTCTTTGCCATCCCAAAAAAAGTACTTTTGCTGGACTGAGACTGCATATGCGGCACACTACAGGAGAAAGTTAGCAAGCATTCTTCTATGGCTTCCATCAACCAATCATGCGAAAACAAAAATACACTTTTTTTCTCATTTTCTTGTGATTGGATTTTCTTTAAAAAAGTGAACTTTTACCACATTCACCAAGCTAAGGGCAAATTCCCGTGCAAAGTGAGCAACTTATTTGCGTTTAGTAAATCAACCCCATTGACTTTGACCGGTTTTACTTGCAGTGGTATATTTTTTGCAGGGACATTTGTGTGTGGATTTCTGGCACTCAGGCTTGGTTTTAAAGCCACCTGTTGTGTAGAACCATTTGTGCTGGCTCTGCTCCTTAGTTCAGTCCTCCATCATAGAAGAAAGCATAGTTCCTGGTTGGGTGAACTTTTTTCTCCATAAGTGATTCAGCCTTTTAGACTTGGGTTGTAAGGAGCAGTAAAGTACATAGAAACAAGCTGTTTAAAACTTGAACTCATTAACAAAGCAGAACGTCACATTGTGGCGAGTGGGCATGTGCCATATTGCACCGCATACTTGCTTATTATGGCACATTTATCTCCCAACGTGTGCCATTCTAGTGATGTGGCATTCACATTTCCCTTTCGTCGTTCCATTGCCACTGCTAACATCATTGCCCAGCCTTCTTTCAGGTTCGGTATCTTCAGTCACCTTCATTAGCCAACCCATACTGACATACAGTAACTGCCGAGCATGTGTACAGGAGTGAAGGTGGCCATACACCTGCCGATTATCGTACGATAATCGCAGGAAATCCCACGATCGTACGATAATCGGCAGGTGTATGGAAGGTGTGCGACCGTTTCTACTGTACGGTCGCACGTCTTTTGTCTTACGAGCATGTTGGAAAACCAGCCGAAAATCTAAGATTTTCGGCGGGTTAGTGGCGTGCTCGTAAGACAAATGCCGCACGGGCCGGTGTGCGCAAGCGCACACTGCCCGCTCAGCATTGCAGTCATCGCAAGCCCTCCCCTCAGCGGGGCGGGCTTGCGTTGATCGAAAGTACGATCTGCCTGTCCAAGATGGGCAGATGGTACGAGCTTTTATTTACCTTACAACCATCGCAAGACGAAAGTCGTGCGATGGTTGTAAAGTGTATGTCCAGCTTAAGTCCCGGCTTCCAAGGTTTCTCGAAATTACTATATATATATTGAGGGGCGCATGAATTGTGTCCACTCAGAAGGAGATTGCTAGCAGGTAAGGCAAAAGGTTTCATGGCAGAAGATACATAAAAAGTATTTTCTGCATTTAAAGCCTAACTGCTACCTTTCAAACAAAACCTTAGTTCCATGTGATCTACAAAAAAGATCTCACCGGTTTCCACCACAGGGACATCTATGGGTGCTGGTCAGGAGCCGTCCACACTCCATAAATCCAGAAAATTAAGGAAAAAGACCACACCAGCAGTGCCAATTGGCCGTTAGCTTTATTCCATAATTATTACAGCTTTCAGCGTGACAGGTTATGAAGTAACAAAAGTCTTACCGGGATGCGGTGTCGTTCCCTGAGGCCTGTGCGCATGGCAAGCACGGTACCACCAATCACTGGCAAGCAGCAGCATTCCCCGTAATCTGAGGCCACGTTACACGCTAAACATATGGGGAAGAATGTTCCACACAGACCTGAGAGGGATAAAAGAACATCATCAGTAGGAAACACAATCAACTAGAATGGCTCTAACCAGATAAGTCCAACCTCAGCTGATACGTCTAAGAAGTAACAAAGTATTTATCGGCAACTGTACCTACGTCCTTGCTTTACTGACTTTGCCTGAAGGAGTGATTGGAAGATAACTAGAAGAAGGACATAATTTCTGGGTGATATAATTGGCTTGGCTGAGGAAACTCTTCTGGTTTCATAACCTTACCACCACCCCCCCCACCCCCACATCCACACCACCCTTGCCTGGTGCCAATTCCCATCCTTTCCTCTGTGGCCAATGGGGAAACAGTACGTGATGCATTTTCTGAAGTCGCTCTACAATCCTGCCTCATGCCACCCTTAAATATTTATTTATTGAGCTCCCCAGCTCCATCTAGTGGCCATAATGTTTTATTACAACTAGGGTTGCCACCTGTCCAGGATTCACATGGACAGTCCGGGTTTTGAATGCTGTGTCCGGGTTTCATGGCAGCAGAAACCCAGACACAGGATGTCAGGCAGACAGAGGCAACCAAAATTAAGATAGAAGCTACTAGCCCCCCACTGAAAACAGTCTCAACTGTGATATGTACATATGAATGGGTGACGCTATTTACATATGAATAAGCCACGACTCATTCTCCCAAAGAAATGTCTGCGCGTTGCTAGAGTGTTCGGGTTTCGCTTGAAGAAAAGGTGGCAACCCTAATTACAACACACTACATTAAAACCGGGAAAAGCTTCATCTAGTGGCCATAATATCTTATTACAACACACTACATTCAACTCTAGAAAAGTGCCATCTAGTGGCCACAATGTAATATGACAACACTACAGTTAATATGGTAAAAACATTCATTTTTGGCATCATTTGCCCCAAATGAATGTTCACAGATATTCTCACACTGGTGTCATGGGTGTGCCCTATATTAAATGTTTATTTGTAAAAACAGATGCAAAACCTCAGTTTAAAAATGTATAAACAGTAAAATAACATGACCCAAATCTGTTTAAATTCATACTTACAGATTCCACAATCGTCACAGCAGTCAAATACATCAGAATTCCAACTGCTGATATTTGTTGTGGTGCTGATTAGCTGCACCATCTGAGGCTGAGTGCTCACAGGGTAAGTCATTGTGACCTATGAAAAAAAAAGATGATGGAACATTCAAGCAGCAGCTCAATCAAACTGATCATGTAAAGCTCATCAGTGCAAATCAAATGCTAGCCAGGAAATTCTGCAGCTGAGATCAAGTCCACTATTCTTTCATGTGTAAAGCTGGCCATACACCTTACAACCGTCGCACGACTTTCGTTATGCGATGATTGTAAGGTAATTAAAATTTCGTATGATCTGCCCATCTTGGACAGGCAGATCGTACTTGCGATCATCGCAAGCCCTCTCAGCTGAGGGGAGGGTTTCCGATGATTGCAGTGCTGAGCGGGCAGTGTGCGGCATTCGTCTCCCGAGCACGCCACTAACCCGCCGAAAATCGTACGATTTCCGGCAGGTTTTCAAGCATGCTTGGATGACGAATGTCGTGCAAACTTACAGTAGAAGAGGTCGCACGCTGTCCATACACCTGCCGATTATCGTACGATCGCGGGATCACCCGCGATTATCGTATGATAATCGCCAGGTGTATGGGCACCTTAAGGCTGGCCAAACACCTTACAACCATCGCATGACTTTCTACACCTGTGATATCATCACTGTGCTGTGCATAGCCTTTGTAGAGAGCAGAGCTGTGGGAGGGGCCCAGCAGGCCCCACCTACAACAGGCTGTCTGCAGGAAACTACAGGAGGGGGTGGAGACATGTCCAGTCACCCTGCACAAGGAGAGCGTGCAGCAGTGAGCGGAAGGGCTGAATTTACTCTCCCTGCCGCCCCAAGGTCAGGTTCTGCGATGCGCACCCCCCCCTCCCCGACCCCCCCCCTTCCCATCAATGGAGAATGGCAACCAGATGGCAGGGCGGCGAGGTTAGTGTCAATTTTTTTAACTGTTTCTTATTACTTATAACCCTGCCGCTCTGCTCACTGCAGTCAGAGACTCGGGACTCGGCGGTGGAGGACGGAACTAGATGAGAGAGGTAAGTGCAGGGGTAGGGGAGGAGGCTGCACACTGTTTACATGTGATCTCGTCTACATCGCCGAGTTCATGTAAACGAAAAATCGGCTTCCCTCACTCTACATTTAGTCCTGCTTGTACAAAGCAGGACTGAATGTAGAGAGAGCAACTTCCCCACAAGGACACCGCTGCCGCTCCTCTGCGCCCTGCCGCCCAGAGGCCGGGTCTCGGTGGCCTTGTGGGGAATCCGGGCCTGGTGAGCGGTCTTTATTACAGGAAGTCTCACAGATCTGGAAGAAATACACAAAGCTCACCAAGATTTAGAAAGAATACCTATGACTCTTGTCATAGACAGCATTCATCCTGAGGTTTTATCCTAAGACAGAAAAAGGGGCAGATGCAATGGACCACTTTGTGTTTTTCTGCTGGCCCTCTTCTACACAGTCTATAATTAATATTTTTGCATTATTCCTTTAATATGTTTGTTTTATGTTATGGCTGTTCTGTTTGTAAAAAAAAAAAAAAAGACAGACCCAGACAGATTGAGCGGAGGGGATGCATGACTGGGAGGAGGAATAGTCCCTGGAGAAGGGGTTAAAATAAAATGGGAATTAGTTGATCTTACTTGATTGGGGGTTGGGTTCAGGTATCCGGGGGGGAACCGCACGGTTTAGGACTGCAAGGGCTGAGGGGCGTTCTTTCTGGAAAGTCGATGGAAGAAGCAGTTTGTCCCGCCCGCCATCCCTTAATTTTGTGGTTTCTGACAGGGGAGTCCCGAGGCCGTGTGCCACCCACGAGCGGGGACCGGGTGACACCCCGCCATGACATCATCGTGCATGTGCGGCTATCTAATTGACGCCTGCTGGCGGCCATCTTGGTGATGGACGCTGGCAGAGAGAAGAGGGGGCGTTCACTCGGCGGGATGAGGCATGCCGCCGGGTCCCCTCCTCTCTCCTGAAACTGTCGGGCTCTCATTCCATGACCGAGTGCCCGACTTTTTTAGAGGAGGTGACACCAAAATGACTGTAATTTTTTGGTGGGCCTGGCCCCTTAGAACTTGGGAGCAGTAACTGTCCTCAAGCTGGTTGGGGTGCGGCTGGGGACATGGGAGCAGTTTTTTAGGAAAGGCCTGTTGGGAACCCAAAGACCCCTTCTCGGATCCAACAGTCGTTAAGATGATTTATTTGTATATTATTTTGTTTATTACTTTGGTTATTGTTAGTGTTGGTTTGGTTAAAAGAAGGGCTGCTGCTGCCATTTAAATCCATGTGGCGCAGTCTGTGTGTTTATTGGGGGTTTTTAACAGAGGGACGTAATTGACGAATTCATCAGTCATGGGCAATTCAATTGCATCATTTCATCAAAAAGTAAACAAGTGAAATGCGACCTTTTGGCGTTGTGCAGGGTAAGGTGGTTGGAAAGTAAATGTGTGACGTCTGTAACATTTGGGGAAGTGGATTTGTATAATTGCTTGTAGATATGCTGTTCTTGTTTTATGACTGGAGTTACCACCTACATGCTGCGTTTAAGAGGAAGTAAAGTCAGAATGTGGACAGCAGATGTCAGTGACCCCGTCCAAACCACAATCCACAACACATCAATATCACGTTTCCCTGGAAAACACTGGAAAAGAACAGATATCTGGCCCCTACCGGTGAAATGACAATTGCAGGATTAACAGGGTGACTTTTCTATTTTTGTCTATTAATATTGTATTTTTATAATTAAGTGATGTTTCTTGCACACCTAGACTGGGTTCTATAGGTGGTAAAGGTTGTTAAATATTTGCATACAGAGATGGTTAAAGCTGGCCATACACAAAAATTCAACCAGTGTGTGGCTCAGTCGGTTTCCCTCTATTTGACAGAAGTTGACTTTTCAGTTGACTTTTGTCAATGGAGTCGTTCCAAAAAATCTCAGCTGTTCAGTGACTGCAGCCAATCCCAATGGACTGTTGTATTCTGACAGTGGTGGGCATACCTCCCAACTGTCACTCACTGGGAACCGAATCCCTCTGTCTCTCTTTCCTCCTCAGTTGTTCCTGTGTTTGGTCTGATGTTCAGATATCTATGAAAAGGGACTATTTACCTACCAAAAGTGTTATTCCGCACTGAAACCTTCATCTTATCTCTTGATTATCTAATTTCCCATTTTGAAAAGCCAGTATAAAGGAAAAATGATGAAAAACAACCAATGGGTTTAACCAATCATTGTCCTTTGCCTATATATATATATCTATAACTGGAGGAGTGACAGGGGTGTGTCTATTGCCTATATATAACTGGGGGAGTGGCAGGGGTGTATTTATTGCCAATATATAACTGCGGGAGTGTCAGATATGACACTTGCCTTTTATTGATTTTAAATGTCTTTGTCAGTTGGTGGTTTTTTGATGCGATTTTGTTTAATGTTGTTTTCTATTTTTTCATAAAATTTTGATACATTGTACTGCCTGTTTTTCTATTATAGACAGCTCCATCTTATGGGATTTCGCATTTAGGGGAGCCTTGCTTGTTATTGATAGATTATTGAAACCCAGGAGACCTGTCTTTACCACTCGCTACTATAAACGTGACTCCCTTTCCCCTTATTTTGCTGATATGTGATAATTGCCTATCTATAACTGGGGGAGTGGCAGGGATGTGTCCATTACCTATCCCTAACTGGTAGAGTGACAGGGGTGTATTTATTGCCTATATATACCTGGGGAGTGGCAGGGGTGTGTCCATTGCCGATCTATAACTGGGGGAGTGACAGGGACGTGTCCATTGCCTATCTATAACTTGGGGAGTGGCAGGGGTGTGTCCATTGCCTATATAATTGCATGAGTGGCAGGGGTGTTTCTATTGCCTATATATTTACTTGAGGAAGTGGCAGGGGTGTGTTTATTGCCTATATATAACTGGAGGAGTGGCAGGGGTGTGTCTATAGCCTATATATAACTAGTGAAGTGGCAGGGATGTGTCCATTCCCTATATATATATATAAATGGGGGCATGACAGGGGTGTGTCCATTGCCCAAATACATTGTGCTGGAAGGTTTACACTTTCTCATCTCAGGAAGTTGGGAGGTATGGTGGTGGGTTTGCTGCTGTCAGAATACCCAAACAGTGACTGCAGCTGATTGCCTGAAGTCACTGTTCCGCCTAGATTGTTTGGACCGGCTCCCTCGACATAACCCAATCAAAAATTCAGCAGGACTTAGCTGAATCTTGACCAGTGTATGGCTAACTTAACAGACCTTGGAAGTCCCCTTTATTGAGGAGTTGAAAACCTTCTTCAATTAGTCAGTGTAACCCCAGGGCGACTCCAGACCCATTACTTGGGTTTGGTAGCCCCATTACATTTCCTTTTTCCAGCCTGGCTATTGTACATTACCATACCTGCGCCATTGCACAGTCATTCAGATATCTATAATGAACCTTTTGAGATTCACCTTTTTACTGTACAACGCCCACACAAAGTGTTTAACAATAACCTTAGCCGCAGACTCTCATGAAGCTACCTGCATACCAACGAGTGAAAGATAACGAGAACTAGGGGGGGGCGGAAGACAGCATTACAAAAGACTCAATGACTGATCCTGAATTAAATCTTCAATGCTACATTCCAACGGGAAGGACACTGAGCCGGATAATTATGTTGGAGAAAAGGGCTGCTTTAAATGGGGTCTTGTCAATGATAGCCAGGAATTATGAGACGCTAGCTCTGCGGGGTGAATATACTTCAAAGTAGCACATGTAATCACCGAAGAAGAGAAAATGTAGTGTATACGTGTGCGTTATTATTGAAGGGTTTCCATTACTTCTCAACGTGACTTTCTACATGTTTGTTCTTTCATATTTATGTTGTAGTAAGTGGAGAGATTAGTAGATTAGCTACCAGAGGCGGAGTCGTTTAGCCACTGCAATGACTGACTCTTTACTTAACAACCGTAGAGATAAGATAGCAGTCACAAAGGCCTCTTTCACATGGGTGTCAATATAAAAGTATATCATGAATGTTGATTAACGTTCCTATAGTCTTATACACTGAGTGGCCAGTTTATTATGACCACCTGACGTTT